AAATATTTCGTCATTATCGTGTTACATTTTATGACTGTCCCACGTGGTCAAGAAACTTGTATGAATTTGTACTTATCACTATATCAAATTTATATTATATTATAAATAAATAAATACTTAGTAGACAACATCACATACGTTGCTCAGATCCCAAAGCAACTAGCCAAAACACTTGTGTTATGGAAATCGGAAACAACGATGGTCCCACAAACACTCAGACCCGAGACAATATAGAAAAATTAGTTTTTCTACACTGACCCGGCCGGGGATCGAACCCGGAACCTCAGGCGAACGATGGCGACACCATAAAAACCGGTGTGCAAGCCACTCGACCGCGGAGGTCGTCAAGTTTACTTTCCTTATGTGAAATATGAATATACCTATAGGATGTATGAGCGAAGATTAATATGAAAACGAAAAAAAAGTAAAGAAGAAAATTCAAGTAAGTTGAAAAAAATGCCCAACGTATTATATAATACTACCACGCCTGACTCCTGCAAGAGTATGCAGATACGATGGACTGCCAGTCACCATACTCTTTGGATTTCTCCACTCGCATCAATCTTTTCCTACACTCTACTTTATTCTTGTTTTTTTTTATGATATCAAGTAACGGGACGAACAAGTCGTGCACCTGTTGGTAAGCGACACGCCTGTCCACTCAGACAGAGATAGCAGTCGCAGTGCCACTCAGAGCTGTAAATCGCAAAGATCTGAAGGGTGTTGCATGGGCACTGCCACTGCGCCCGTCACCCTAAGACATAACTTGACAAGAATGTGCCTGCATGTAATTTCACCAGCACTTCAAAACAGTAACTCAATAAAGCTCACATGACTGCTTGGCGGCAGAAATAGGTAAGGTCAATCAACTCAATACTCCTGTTACTGTTGACCTGGCCTTCATTAGGAATATCCTCCATCCTCAATGTCCAATATCCCTAAATAAAAAGTTACGAATATAAAGCTCGATTGTTTTCCTTCAAAGTCTATTTTGCAGACGGTACTAGTCTTAACACTGAGTTTAATTAAAATGGTCATAAATAACTCGCTCGCTTAATTGTTCCTGTTAGATTGGCTCGCCGTACTTCATACCTCAAATATCAATCTATTGATATAGAAATAGCTGTTCTAAAACTGTACTATAAACAATTAAAACGTTTAATAAAATTTTATTGTAGCTTGGAGTACATAACTCATGGTTGGATTTAAATTTAGTTGTTAAAAAAAACTCCGACAAAGATGCGATGTTATTTCGTTAGTAACCATTACAATAAATACCTTGAAAATATAGAGTATAATAAAAAAGAGCAACGCCACAACATAAAAAAAATGGCAAAACATTAAAGAAAGTGCCTACAATTTGAAGTACTGTCATTTGTGCAGCTGTGGCGTACGCAAAAGGATCTCATTACACTAAAGCCACAAACGAGATTAGACTTTGACACCGATTTTCAATGAACTCAAACTGTATCAGCAATAACAATAGTACCAAAATAAATTATAACATACTTACATGTCCTTTACAGGTCCCATAATCACGGTTGACTGAAACTGAGGCCCGAAACGCCGGTTTTGTTTGAAAAAGCAAATATACGCGATTTAAATCCGGAAAAATAGTTTCATTACCTATGTGTAACAATCGCGAAAACCTAAGAACTCGATACACTTGTATTTAAACTAAAGAACACGTATTTACATAGAATTAAATAAAGTAAATAGTATATAGAATATATAGTTGAAGATAGGTTTCACAGACGGCCGCGCTATGGGGCACCATGCCCAGGGCCCCAAGTCTGCTAATTTAAAATCATCTTAGTTGTGTGTCGATAGTGTCAATGGTAGATTTTGTACGTTTGGTATTCGGCTAAAGTTAAGAATAGTGGCTTCTCAGTGGCTAGCCATCGAGCTACTTATCCACTGCCATTGCAATTTTTGGTATTCTGCCCTTCAATGGCGAGTCGATGGTACATCGATGACATAGTCATGTATAATAAAGCAAAATCGATTTAAAGACTTCATTACTGCTTAAATGAGATAAAAATTAAGACATCTTTGAATGAATGAATGAATGCCATCAGTGTCATTCCACTGACACTATAGAGACTGAACTGCCACTACAACTAAAGTTTAGCAGAATAACAAATGTTTTCATAATTGCAATATAATCTCAAGAAAATTAGCAAAATTGCCCAGGAAGCTGTTAATACCCCTTGGAGCCTTCTAGTATAGTATAATAAGACCAATAGCGCAACTTCCGTCTGTTTTTCGCTTAGGTAAATGCCTTACATCGGTAATGTTACATCATTATTTTAGTTGTGCCTACAGATTGAAAACATCATTAAAAAAAATTAAGGCGTTCTTTACAGTGTTCTCATGCTATGTATAATAATAAATGAAGTAGGTAATTTCTTTTTATAATATCAAGTGACGGGACTAACAAATCGTGCGCTTGATGGTAGGCTACGCGCCTGTTCATAAAAATTGAAGTGCCACTCAGAGCTTAAATCGCAAAGATCTAACGAGTAGTGCCACTGCGCTCATCACCCTGAGACATAAGTTAACAAGACTCATGTGCCTGTAATTTCACCAGCAGTCTTACCCTTCAAAACCGGTACTGCTAACATTTCTGCTTGGCGGCGGAAATAGGTAAGGTGGCACGACGAACTCTTTCACAAGGAGTTCTACTGCTACTCTATAATTACTGATTGGAATGGCGCGTGAGACGACCCGCACAATGCAACGCTAGTGCACCGCGAGGTTACGAGAATGTCTGCGTCCGTACACGGTGCGCGGCGAGCGTGCACACATACCAGTCGCGTTGCTAGGTTTGTACGAGTTACCATACTTGTCCTATTGTACTATGCTTCTAACGATCCTTGGCGAAGAGTTTGACTGTTGTGCTCAAAAAACTTAACCCCAGCAAATCCATAAACATAATTTTTTTTCTTTTTTTTAGCATTCACTGATAGCAAAGCACTAGAAAAAACCTGTATCACAGGTGCCATGAACACATACATAGATAGACAACCACAAATTATACCCAAACTCACGATAGATATAAATGTATGTAGGCCATACAAATATTTGTCCCGGTCCGGGAATCGCACCCGGGACCGCTGCGTCGCAGTCCAGCATGGTAACCGTTCGGCCACTGAGGCAGTCATTATAGTATTATCACTAAGACCGTACTTCTAAAGCTTGATTTGCTGTTGTGCTAAAAAAACTTGAAACCAACAAATCCAGAAACATAATTAAATGCAATGCATATTATCATTAAGACCGTGCTTCTAAAGCCGTCATTTGCGCATAATACGGTAAAAGATTTAATGCTCTCTTTAGTAACAGGTTATCTATATTGTCTAGGTTGTCTATGCTTTGGATGAGGTAAATAACAATACCTATAACAGTTACCCTGCTGGTAAATGGCTTTAAAAAACTTACTAAATAAATCTACTTCAATTCAAGTTCGATCTTTGTATTTAATAATTATAACAAACTAGTGGAGTAATTTCACAAAAATAAAAACAAATCAATAAATCTACTTCAATTTCGAAATTGGTCAAAATCAAATTCCGAATCCACTTACCATTCAACTGCACTGCGGACTCGTATCCAGTTACTAACCTAATATTTTAGGCTTTACTGCTTAGAATTTTAGATTCGCGTTGTTTTATCAACATCAACTAAGGCGCCTCACGTATATGCGACGAACACAGAATAAATATTTGACAGTTCTGGTACTGCCTCAGTACGAGTACTACAGGATCGCAAAACCTAGTCTAAAAGAATACTTCAAGTGTTTTATTTTGTTTTAAGATTCATCTCGTCGCGTCTCATTTGTATGTATCCCACAATTGATCGTAATTTTTCGTTCTTTCCAAGTTGTCAACAATACCGATTTGTATATTTCATGCTAGGAACAAAATGGATTAACGATTAAAAGCGTTTCAACATGAGTCGCAATGAATACCAATCGCGTACATTTGTATGTACCGTTAAAAGGTCCCCGTGATCGAAAAAAAAAACATTGTAAATTGTTTAAAATGTGTTTACGCGCAAAAATGGTTATAACGGCTACCTATTTCGTTCTCTGCTTCTTAAAAATAAGCTGCCCTTTTCTTTAAATTTGACCTATAGCATCTTACAAGAATAGGTAACAAGACCTTATTTTAACCTTATTAACCTTTATTTCTATGCTTGACAATTGTTATTTATATATTAAAGCAAGAAACAATTTCCGTAAGTTTAGGTTTGATCATTTAGTACATATAATTATATAAGTTGCAAATTCATATATGTATGTGGTGTAATCATTAAGTGTGCCCAGGAGATTATTCTGTAAATATATAAGAGATATCAAAAACCTATGTTTAAGAGGCCTGAAACCTCATTCAAAAACTTTTAAACTGATATCATAAGTATGTCACCTAATGAGTTTATACGACATTCGTAGAGAGGCTTCAGTCGACCAACTTTAAGTAGTAACAATAAGTTTACAGATAACGAAACAGCTAAAACAGCTATAAAGAAAGTAATAATGCTATATTTTAAATGAATAAAAACAAAGTAATGTTTATTTTTAAGTAAGTACAAAATTTGGTATTTAAAGCAGTTGTTCGAAACTCACTCTACAAATGTCATATTGAATGTCTGGGAGTGTTTAATGTTAACATTTTGAATATTTCTAGTTTTATTTAAAAAAAGTTATTGCTATCGTTTTACACATTATGTAACGTACTTTGGATATCAGTTTTTGATATCTCTAATATTTACGGAATAACCTCCTGGGCACACTTAACGATTACACCCCGTATAACATATTTTGTATAACTTTATATAAATAAAATAATTATTTATAAACGACCTTTCGGAATAGGATATAAAAATTTTACATGCCAATTAGTTTATCAAAAATTTCATTATTTTACTAATATATATAATGAAGCTTAATTACGATTGGTATAAAAGTAGAATTGATTGGCATGCTGTGTCAGTAGAAATATTCTCGGGCAAACATGTTGCCCGACAGAATGTGGGGATTTGTGTTATTATTGTGTTTGGCCTTGGTAGCAAATGTGAATTGCGGTAAGATTTTCTCGTTTTTGTGTTCTGTGAGGTAATTTGTAAATAATAATAATAATAATAATAATAATAATTGGCCTATAGGTATATTCGACAATGACTTGGGTTGTAGTTCCCACGCGGCGTGGGCCCAATCCTAGTTCTAACATCATTAAATTGCTTTGCAGATATGAACAGGTTTCCTCACAATGCTTTCTTTTTCCGAAAAGCTCATGATAAATTTGAAATAAAATGATACGGCTGCCGCCCAGTCACCACGCTTTCACGTAAAGTAATGGCGAATATAAATTGTAATTACATTTAAATTCCTCGGAATAATACAGCCGCGCGGTGGCCTTGTGGAAGCCGTGTGGACGCCGCGCGGCCGCCGCTTATACCAAAGACAAGCCAACCTCGACCCGTGACGCTCATTTAAGTTAAAACGTAAAAGCTAAACAAATAGAGCGCATTTTGCCATGACAGTGATATGCACGCGGTGGCTGCACGGGGGCCACGTGGTCTCCGACCTACCGCATCTCAAATTTGTATAATAATTTTGTTATTCATCCTTTAAGTCTCACACAGAATAACTAATTCTATTTGAATTTAATATTATATTTATCTATTATTGTAGCCACGTTGAGGTGACAGACGCTGGTTCGAGCCCAGTTGGATAGAAGGAATTTTTCTTTGTGATTATTTCATCTTTGTATCAATGACAATAATTTATCCGTTCATTTATTATTTATTTGATTGTATCATGGTATCTGACAAAAGAAATAAAAACCGCAAAAAAAAAATTAAAAGCCTCCGTAAATATAAACCGACTTTTTTTGACAAAATTATTTTTGAACTGTTGCTATCTTTAGCACATCGACTTGAACTTTATTGTTAGCGTATTTGTCTATTTATTAAAAAAAAACGTACTTCAATGTCGTCTACTTGCGAAAATGCCATTTAATACAAGTACTCGTATCTAGTATAAAGTAATGACACTAGTGCAAATAGACCTTATAGGTACTTACAAAAATTCTCACCTGTCAGATGAATACCCCCCACTGGAATGGCCGTCGCAATACTCGACTGACGTCACCAAATACTCAGTTACATCTGGCCTGGTACAAGAAATAACATTCTGGTGAAATTAACATTTTTATCATTATTTTAAACTAGCTGTAGTTTGATGAATACAAAGATCGAACATACAGTAAAATTTCGTCAACCCGGTGGGACATAAACCCACGTCCATGCTGCACCGTAGCATTTCTCTTTACTAACTGAGCTACGGTGGTCCAGTCCAAGTCGTCGAAATTCTCCTGTGTGTTTTTGTTACACTGCCGTCCACTGATTAAAACGTGGCTAAGTGACAAATGGTCAAATATCCATTTTCAATAGCAAAAGAAAGAGCACAATCTTTTAAAAACAGATAAAATTAGTTAACGTGTTCAACTTATCGAAACTTACCCTAAGGCGATTATCACACTGCTCCGCGCCCCGCGACGGAGCGAGAGACGCGGAATCACGCGCGCGGCGGGCGGCGGAGACGCAGATCTGTGTCAACGCGCGGTTTAATCTGCGCGGCGGTCTAGCGGCCCCGCGTCACGTAAAGTACTCGCTTCTCAGTTGAGCGCCGTAGTGATTGTACATGTAGCCGAGATCCTTCTTTGACAAGAAAGGTTAATAATACAGAACTCATTCAGGACACTGCAGTTATACTATTTGGTTTTTGTTTACTCAAATAAAAAGACACCGAGGATATTGAATACATCCCTTTTTACGAACCAGATCGATAAATGGATAATTTCAAATTCATTACAAAGATTTAAGAAAATATGAATGAAGATAAGTTTGGTCGATTTTCAATAGCAAATATAAATTTATCGACGTCGAGATCTATTGTAGAAAACGGAACATGTCCTTAAGGTTAAAAATCTGCGCGGTAATGCGGAGCGCAGTGTGCCATACCCCGCGGTTCCTCTCGCGTGGGGAGCGTTGTCAGTGTGTTCGACGGCGCGTGTTTTCCATACAAACTGAAGTACTTCAGTACAACGTTAAAAAACGCAGCGTCGCAGTGTGATAATCGCCTAACGTTGCATAGCTGGAATATCATTAAAAAATTTCAATATTTTAAAACTGGGTTGTGGCTTTTTATGATATCTCAAACAAATATTTTGTCACTTAGCCGCGATTTAATTAGCGGACGGCAGTATATATCTTTGTACTGGCTTTATACAAATCTCTCACTAGATGTCACTAGTGGCAACGAATGCCGGGAACTTCGACGGCTTGGTGACTGGACCCGTAGCTCAGATGGTTAGAGCAATGCTACTGTGCAGCATGGACGTAGGTTCAAGTGCCACCGGGTGTGTTTGAAATTTCAGTTTCGAACAGAAATATTTCTGTGTTCGATCTTTGTATTCATAATCATAACAAAACTAGTGGAGTTATTTCACAAAAAACTCAATAAAAATAGCTGTGGTCTGTTGCTTTTGTCTTCATTTGTGTTATACATTTATATGACAGACATTCATTCGAATCAATGCAATGCGAAACTAAATATTAGTTTTTTTTTTATTTTATAAATAAACTTACTCTTGACCGCTACGTGATCGTGGAGCAAAGATAGGAAATTGAAATATAATTAGGTAAAAATAGACAGAAAACAAATTAAAGCTCATTGCAAAGCTTCCGCTTTCTACTCGAAAATTACATTCAATATTGCATTTTAAAAAAACTGTTTTTTATAGCAGCAAATTGCAACCCTATGTAAATGCAGGAACATAATTTATGATTACAATTAATATAAAATATAAATAATACAGGCGAAATGAAAGGAACTCAAGAATTGAATATAACGGTGGAGCTGTAAATAACTACGTCATAACTATCAATCACGAATCGAGCACGACATATCAGCGATATGAGGTAATAAGGCCCTTGGTACGTCCAGGGTCTTTAATGTTTTTGTTGCTTCAATGAAGTCAGGTGCACTAGAAAAACATACACTAGATATGAATTCAGCGCGCAAAATTATCTATCCTTTTTTAACTAACTTCAAAAAAGGAGGAGGTACTCAATTCGACTGTTTTTCTTTGTATTAGTAAGCCGATTTTATTTATTTTATTTTTGAGGGTACAAACAGCTTCTATCAGAATATAAAAGAAAATACATTAAATAGTAACTACAAGCAAACTTCATGATTATTATTTTTTGTTGGAAAGAGGATACCTCAGTATTGATCTCATTTAAATTGGAAGAAAATATTCCACCTCTAAGGATGGCAATCTAGGAGATGAATCTGGTTTCACGCACTTTCCGGTAACTGATTTCAATAAACCTTGGCAAGTAGATGAAATTCCATGTACTTTTGAGGTCAGTTTTTTTTATAAAAAAGTAATAATCAGCAAAACTACTTTTTCCGCCTTCCTGGTTTTCCTGTACTTTTGAAATAATTTTATTTCAACGCTGTTTTTCTTGGGACTTGTCTTTTTATTTACAAGTTTAAATTCATTGTATTTATGTGTGTTTCTACCCGTCTGTGGCATCGAAGCTCCCAAACGGAAGACTGACCTTTTTATTTGAAGGTCAATTTCATTGGGAAGGTTCTTAGCTAAGTTTGATGAACATATGTCCAACGGTTAAAAAGATCATCAGCTTTCCTCCCAGTTAGTGTGGGGATCTAAGTTAAAAAGAAATATTAAATTTACTTGAAATTTCTGCAACCAGTACAGTGCGGTACTCAAGTACTTAAAGTGAAACTATCATGTTTAAGCTCATTAAATCGATCTCGTCAAGTTGTTAGCATGCAGATGGTAGTAGCAGTAGAGCTCCTTGTGAAAGAGTTCGTCCAAGCAAATACTGCCACCTTACCTATTTCAGCCTACAAGCAGTAATGTCAGCATTACTGTATTCCTGAAAATACAGGCACATGGGACTTCTCAACTTATGCCTCAATGTGCCAAGCGAAGTGGCAGTGCCCCTCAGATCTTTGCGATTTAAAACTCTGATAGGCATTGTGACTGTTATGGACAGGCGTGTAGCTTATCATCAGGCGCACTACTTGCTCTAATCTTATTTTTCCTTGCGTTCTTAGTTCTTCGATTTGAAACATTATTTCTGTTCGACCTCCTTATAGATCCGTCCTGAGTCTCCTACGGAAGGAGAAATGAACAAAATGGCCTGTCACCTGTTAGAGGACGACGCTTACATTATGCCGGACGATATGTTACCCGTGTATGAATTTTTCTTCGAAGAAATTGGTAAGTAAAGCTTCAACGAACATTGAACTAATTTAAAAAAAAGATTCCAGAGAAAATTAATACAATTATCTAGTTTAAAGTTGTTTATAGATAATTTATTTATTTATTCATATTGTACAACTTAGTGTAAGTTGTAACAGTAACAAAAGCTAAACGTAAGTCATAGTCAAATAAGGGTTGAGTCAATCACCGCCCAAAAGCAAGCTGCGAAATTTCGATCACAGAGCTTCGGCCGGAGTCTTCAAGTACTAACCAGCCTATGTGAGAAAATTCCCGACAATTTTTTTATGAACTCTGATTTAAATCAAGAAGAAACGATTACATTGATTTCTTAATCTTTTCGATGTCATTCTAATGATCTAATAACATGTCACTATTATTGCCTGGATATAATGCACTATTCTTACTGGAGTAATACCGATTCAAATTCAATCTTCTAATATAAGTTTTTTATTTGAATAGCATGAAATGATGATTGGTCCAAATTTATCCATTGGTGATCGTTTCGCCGACATTTCTCTAGGTAATGAAAACATTCGAGGTCAGGATTGTGTGAAGTTTTACTCAGAGGACAATGATGGTGACTCTAAGGCCAAACACTACCTGTGGGCAGTATACAATAACTCTACCGAAACTTGGCAACCTGTAAGGTAAGTAAAAATCCAAAATTTACGTATAATCGCACAAACGTAAAATGAATGTTTCATTATGAACAGTAACTATAAATAAGTATCGTGCTGTGTCAAGTTTTGCTTTTATAAAGAAAGGATAGCACTATAGTTGATGTCACGTTCAATTAAAGTAATGTTTTTGCAACTTCCTGTTATTCGAATAAGCGAAAAATTTTGTCAAGTAATTACTTGCATTGAAAACAAATTGTCGATGTCGCCACTATTTCACGGTTCATAAATAATATGCCAGTTTTATAAACTCTCTTATTAGAGCACGTTGAAGCAGGAATGACATAACATTTTTGTTTTAGGTACGAATCTATTAAAACCAATGTATGGCATGGATACATAGATACACATGATATATGGGATTTTGATAACTTCGACACGGATTTCAACACGGACGACGCATTTGCTCTTCCTGAAGGTGTGTGCACTCACAATCTTGTTAAATAAATCAGTTTTAGTAGCACTACAGCTCCTTGTGAAAAAGTTCGTTCAGAGATATACTGCCACCTTACCTAAGCAATATTGTGAGCGTGTGATAATATTGTACAATATTTAAATAACAAAAATTGCCACCGAAATTAGGTACAGGAAACTAAACTGAAAATTACCCCACTGCTTTCCGGTTTTGAAAGTTGGGTAAGAGTGCTATGAGAGAAATTACAGGCACACGAGGCTTGTCAACTTTCTGTCTTACGGTGACGGGTGCAATGGTAGTATCTCTCAGATCTTGGCGATTTAAAGCTCTGAATGGCGCTGCAACTGTTATGGGTAGGCGTGTTGTTTTCCACCAGGCCCACAAATTGTTTGTCACGTCCATTGATATTACAAAAAAAGTTTGATGTTAATAATTTTTAACAACAATTTTACACAATGGAGTAAATAGATAGATTAAATTCATTAAAAATAATTAACGTTTTTATTTCCGAAAGCAACACTCATAGAACCCAATAGCCCCAACAAATTTCAAAAAGACACAACTCTACTGCTGCTTCCCGGGAATTACATTTTTTATATGGAAAGTTCTCTAAATTGCGGTGTAATTGATAGTCACTTCACAATTAACGCAAACAATTGCCTATTCGCGTAAATTATAATCGAATCCAAAATCTAACTTTCGTACCAGTCACTCACGAGGTCAATTTGAATTTTATCGTTATGATACTACAGGTCGCTATTATGGGTGTGCTGTCGTTCAATGCTGTGAATTCCTTATTGGTTTTGATATGGATCGACTTCTACTATTCACTTACCATCTACTGACCGGCAATTTCATAGATTTCATAGAATATAACGCATAATAACGCACACACTCAACATAGCCCCGCACTAGGGAAACCCTGTGTCGCGGATGCTATAAACACACATATAGACAACCACAAATTACACCCAAACTCATGAGATAAATAAATGTAGACCATACAAATATTTTCCCGGCCCGAAAATCGAACCTGGCACCTCTACGTGCCAGTCCGACATGGTAACCGTTCGGCCACGGAGGCAGTTAAATATATATCCATTTCATTTCTTAGCTTGCAATGATACCATCGAGCACAATATACATGACGAAGCCGTAACAAAAGATCTTCTGTTCATGGATCATCACAAGAACAAACACGTTGACCACGTTTTTAATGCGTAAGTCAAATTTAATTAGGATGTTCTTTTTATAAAATCAATCAAAATATAAACGAGAAAAAAAATTAAAGTTCAATTTTATTTTAGTTTCAAAGCAAAATTTGGAAAGGACTATGCTGATATACAAGAACATGCTATGAGAAAGAACTTATTTCAAAAGAGAATGAGGTACGGCCTAATGATAATTGTAAATGTACACAAGAACACATTGATTCAACAAATTAAATTAAATGCTTAATGTTCCAGACTAATAAGAGAAACGAACTGCAAAAACCTTTCTTACAAACTAGCGGTAAACCACCTCGCAGATAGAACTCCTGAGGAATTAAAGAAATACAGAGGTCTAAAACGACGAGACCCAGGAGATAAAGGCACACACCCTTTTCCCTACACACAAAAAACTTTGAAAAATGTTCTCAGCGACCTTCCCGATGAATACGATACAAGATCCGAAGGACTAGTAGCGCCTGTTCAAAGTGAGTATTAATATCTATTTAGATTAGAATGTATTTATTATGAGTTTATTTGCTTATTATTTGCGAGTTGAAGTGTATAAGTAAGAAACAACCCAATTCTTTCTACAACGACGAAAATGTAGGATGTGTGATAATTATTACAAAATACTAACTGTGATGGCCCTGCTTTTAAGAGGTCACTTTTTGCATTGTTATTAGACGAATAAAGTATTTAATTTTCTTCTTGTTTTTTTTCCTGTTTTGATAATTAATTTAGCTTCAGTTTAAGCATACTTTTTCAATGTTGAGCACAGTTATAATTGGACGCAGATATACCTACTGCATTAATTTTAAAGTGTTTTTCTCTATTGTTTGTGTTTAATGTCTGTTATTGTGTATAAATATAATATATAAATATAATAATATACATATCGTTGATAATCCCGGAGAGCAAGATATGTCAATAAATGTCGTCCTTCACACAGATCAAGGAGATTGTGGGTCATGCTGGACTTACGGAACAACTGCAGCTGCCGAAGGAGCTCTGGCACGTAAAGAGGGAAAATTGATTCGCCTCTCTAATCAAGCACTTATTGATTGTGGTTGGGAGTAAGTTAGCGATGTCAACATCGTCCATGACGTCCAATATCTAAGCTTTATGATTATTTTATTTATTCAATTCTTTTAATATACACTACAGACGTGTCATTAGTAGTAATAACAATAATAATAATAGTAAATTATGATTGTAAATCATGCAACTAACTGAAATAGAAATACTTTTTTAATTTTGATTATTTCAACAGATTTGGAAATGATGGATGTGATGGTGGCGCAGACACAACCGCTTACAAATGGATGATGAAGTATGGTTTGCCCACTATAGCAGACTATGGAACTTATGAGCAAGTGGTAAGGGTTAATATAGTATTCATACCGCAATTTCATATTGCTGAAATACGTAACTTATTAGAATGTATTAATTACTTATTATTGACATATTTTTTTAAATTAAAGATACATCATCAACGTAACGCAAAACAATAATCTAAAATAATAATAATAAAAATTAATGATGTAAAATTACAGCAATAATTGATTATAAAAGATTTGAGATTGAAACAATTGCATGCACATGCGAATAAACTGTTTAGTGTTTCCTACATGAAAGATGTCTATGTCACTGTCCCTGGTCACAGTCAAATCGTTGTCTGACTACATGAGTCTGCTCAATACCTTCCGAAATTAGTTCGGCCACTAGATAAAACAAATGATTTGGCAATGGGAACCCTACGCACTTTACGAGGAACGTTTTAGATGTTGAAGACCAGTGCGTCTAGCGACGATATACCTACATGCACCATCCTGTGCTGGGTTCCTATTTCACGTTCCTATTCACCGGCCATACTGTATTCAGATTGGACAAACTTCTTATTTCTAGCGAACTTAATGTGGCACTTAAAGGCATTTAAATGCATTTAAATTCATCTTATTAAGTTTACACCAATCGTAAATAGAGTCCAGATGTAACTGTAGAATGTTGACATCGCTCCGAGTTTTTACGCTTTTGTTTAATTTTAAGACGTCCGAAAACATGGAACACTACAAAATGATCGAACTATAGAATGATCGAACAAACACAAATTCCTTCGATCTGACTGTATGTCACGTTGCGGGAACAGACAAACAGAATTTCTTCGAGTCCAGTCGATCATTGTATCCATAATAATAACAAACTAATGGAGTATTTTCACAACAAAATAGATGAATATCGTATTCAATAAAAATAAAATATTGCATAATTTTTGTTCTTTTTTTCTTTAAAGGACGATTATTGCCGTATTAGCAACATAAGCGAGGACAAGCTTCATCCAATTCGGGGATTTGTTGACGTCACTCCTAACAGTGTTGGAGCACTTAAAGTAAGATTATTTTCCTGTACACGATTAGACATACTTACGTAGTGAAATAACAATTTAAAAATGTGTTAACATTTTACACTTTTTATACATTTTCATTTTCAATCAACGTTTTCTTCGAATAATTCATACAAAAGTCATATATGCTGCAATATGAAAACTGCTAAATATCCAATGTGCATTAAAATATACTAAACATGCTTCAGGCACAAGTAAGTATGCTTTAAGTTTTAAAAAAATGTAATTTTTCTTTATGATACCAAGTGACTCATCTTTTTTTTTATAATATCAAGTAAGATTCGCTCTGGACCTTTTTTATAGGGAAAAGTGTCGTTTTTATTTTGACTTTCAATTATTTTGTGAAATCTAGTTTAAAGCGGAATAGGATAGTGCTATTGTGCCTTAATCGAACATTAAAACGCGAAATTATACGAATCTCGAACTAGAATACCCGTATCGACCTGTTTTAAGGAATCCCGAGTCAATCCAAGCACGCCGCCTCAAATTGCCTATCCTCTTTGTGGCGGCCATATTTACAGAAACATAGTTAAACTTCATGTTTAGACTGATGGCTTTGCCAAAGCCTTAATAAATTAAAAAAAATAATAATATCAAGTAACGGCACGAACAAGTCGTGCGCCTGATAGTAAGCTACATGCCTGTCCATAACAGTAGCAGTGCCACTCAGAACTTAAAATCAAAGACCTGAGGGGCAATGCCCCTGCGCCTGTCACCCTGAGAAATGAGTTGACAAGTCATGTGCCTGTAATTTCACCAGCACCCTTAGCCTTCAAAACCGAAACACAGTAATGCTGACATTAGTGCCTGGCGGCAGAAATAGGTCAGGTGGCAGTACTTCCTTGGACGAAATCGTTCACAAGGAGATCTACTGAAATTTTTTATAGTCATTTAGAATAATATAGTGCTAAAATTGAAATGCGTTACTTTCAAAAAACGACATTTGTCATTTATGGAGCATGCGACTTCTTCCCGACCAAGGAATGCTAAGTTAGTATGCAAATCCATTACTGCCCTCTTTTCTAAACTTTTAAATCTACCTACTAGTAACGAACAATGAAAACAGGCAAAAGAAAAACTCGTACAGCCAGCTGCCCAGTGTACACTGCGAAAATTAAAAATACCTACCTGTACGGTTTACTTAAAAAAAAAGGAAATGGCTGTAACTGTGTTATTATTCTACGACTGTAACATTAACTAAAGTGTTTTGGTATTCTTTTGTTTTTTCGTCTTTTTCGTATTTTGGTCGCGAAAGTGAGTGCTAGTGAGAAGAGCGATAACGAAAATACAGTAATGGATAAATTCAAACACATCATCAGAAGTTCAGCAGACTACTAATGTACCTGGTAGACTATTAATGTACCTGGAAAAACAATGTCATTTTCTTTCAGCAATTGTATTGTATAAATTTTAATGTTTGTTAATATTTTCTTCAATTTTTCTATTATGCATCTTCATTTCTTTAGTCTTTTATTATTTCCTCGCATTATTTAAGAAAAATTATATACATGCCTCGGCGGGAACGGGGATTGCTTGACTCGTATTAATACAAGGCCTCACTGGCGCTCGTCGTTGTAACTCATACTCGCCCAGCAATCCGTTACTTTCCGGCCTCTGCAATTATGTACTATTTGTGGGTCCGAATGACTTTACATAATAATATTATCTGTATATTGAAGTAGACCGTAAGAGACTATGATTTTTGCTTTTTGCAGACGATTGTTTAACCAATAGAGCTAATTTTTTATCACTATGCGCGCGATACTTCGATTGCATATCTAACATTATAGTACATCTTTTCATGCATGATTATATTATTGGGTGAAGCGACACTTAAGTGCCCCGAACTAATAAAATAAACAATCAAGAACAAGCATAATATCTTTGGTTTTTGTGTTGAAAATTAAAAAATACACCTTAACGAGTGTGACTACATTCTTACGCAATTTGAATATTTTTGATTACCAGTACTTTTGATTATCGAAAAGGTATTGTTCCAACGTAATATATCAGAGTCATATCACGCAACTTAAACTAAAAGTACACGAATTCCTCTTCGTTATCTGTGTTCTCGTTTTCAGGTCGCTTTATACCAAAATGGACCTTTGTCGGTATCTATTGACGCTACCGACAGATTCTTGAGTTACTCCAGCGGTATATTCTACGATACTGAGTGGTAAGATTTAACTTGCTGATTTTATTTTTATTTCAAATATATACATACATAAACATCAACACAAACACAGACACCGGGATAGGCAGAGACCATAGATCTCCACCTGATACGCTCCGGACAAACCTCCTTCGGCTCCTCCACTCCCATCAAATTGGATCTTTCAACACAGCTTTTTTAAGAACACACCCAATATGTACACAAAGGTAGATCCTCTCCCCACAACTCCATTCACATTCGCTTTACAAATTTATGCCGTCAATCTACTACCAATTCTTTTTACAAGACCAAACTATCAAACCTTGCCCTATCGGTCCGTCACTTCGTCACCTTTCATACTCGCGTACTAGGTATTCTGTCTTTAAGACTAATACCGCATGTTATTCTAACATTAGAAATAATCACAACTTTGAAAGCTAGATATGACACATGTATTTTTACACGAGCTAGTTTAACATAAGTATTGAATGGCGCTACTGCGTCGTATCACTTTAGATAAATCATAAAAAATATAATATATAATATACTCTGTAAACGTATGTCAAAACTATATAATATACTCCGCAAAATGTATCTTCTTCATTAGAATGACAGATCGGCAAAATTAGGACGACGTGAATTTTTTTGTACACCACTAATATACACTAAAATATTTATTGTGTAATAATTATTTTACTTATTTACGTTACCACTCATTATTACATGATAACTGAAATCCATAAATTATTGATAAATCACCGTTGGAGTTTATTTTCACTACTTCACATAATGAAGTCATGTCCGACGGAAAAAAATTGTGATCGGACAAGTCTAAAATCCAAAGTCGATCAACTCATTCATTCGAGAAATGGTTTGGCGGTAATTTTAAAATGTTACGCGTACGATTTTAAAATTTCCAGGAATTCTCGGGTTATTTTGAGCTAAATTGTTATACCTATTGCCTTCCTATTGCAATATACTGAAAATTAACAAATAGTGTCGCCACGCCTATTCGCTATTATAATAAATAAATAAAATTCATTTATTTCGATCGATTCATTATTCGTGGGGCAGACACTGTTAATGAATTATATGACTTGATTTCAGTTATAACCATGATACTATAACACAGATTCAAATGTCATGCTTCAGTCTATATATGTACATTAACGATTCTCGATTTCACTGTTCGCGTCCCTTCACTGGTTCATGATGTTTGACATGTGTCATTACATATCGAGTTCTTAGGTTTTCGCGATTGTTACACATAGGAAATGAAACTATTTTTCCGGATTTAAATCGCGTATATTTGTTTTTTCAAACAAACCGACGTTTCGGGCCCTTTACAGGTCCCATGGTCACGGTTGACTGAGGTGGTACAGTCTTCAACCAGTTATGTCTAATATTAATGCAAACCGAGCATGCATGCGAGCACGTCATGGATAAACCTACACATTCAATGAAGTTTGACAAACCCCAGGTCCTTGCAAAAGAAGTCCGTTATCTACCCAGGATACTGCGAGAGGCCATTGAAATTAAAAAACATCCTAATTTCAACAGGGAAGATGGTTTCTCCGTACCACCAGTTTGGGATCCAGTATTTCCTCTAATGAAAAATCCCAAACAGACATAAGACTGCAGTACTAATTAATATGTTTTAGTTTATTCTAATTTCTATTAATAATTAATAATAAATTAAACTTAATAAAAATTCATTCAATAAAATAATTTGTAAAACTTAATGTAGCGTAAATTGGAATGTTTTCTTTGTAAAATTAAAAATAAGGTATTTAATTAATAACTATTGTAACTATAGTGAAAAAATAGGGTGGTTTGCATTAATATTAGACATAACTGGTTGAAGACTGTACCACCTCAGTCAACCGTGACCATGGGACCTGTAAAGGGCCCGACACGTCGGTTTGTTTGAAAAAACAAATATACGCGATTTAAATCCGGAAAAATAGTTTCATTTCCTATGTGTCATTACAATCAACATAACTCCCAAGCCTAGTGGCCGCCATTAAGGAAATAGAATAGAATTTTCAGTTTCAAAATGGGCACCGTAAAGATGTCATAATGATTTCCCGCGAAAAAGATTTTTCACAAACAAAATTAAGTGTATTGAATGATCTGGCAACATGACTGATTAGACTGCTCCGAAGGACGAAACATTTTACTACTAAACCTAAATTTACACAGGGACACTTTATATTACTTCCCTTTAAATTCTTAATTTTTTTTTATAATACCCTGAGACGGGACGAACAAGTCGTGCGCCTGGTGGTAAGCGACACCCCTATCCATAATAATTTCTGCAACCTCATGAGAAATACATTTTGAGAAATACATGACATTTTAACTTCAAATTCATCCACATTAATTTCAATTATTTTTTACAGCCTATCAAATTCTACGTCATTGAATCACGAGATCACTTTGGTGGGCTATGGTGAACAGTACGGTGAAACTTTCTGGATTGTGAAGAACTCTTACGGGCCTAACTGGGGCATCAGCGGCTACATGCACATTCTCGCTAAAGACAACAACTGTGGTATCATGACGGAGCCGACTTACGTTTTATTCTAGACCTCTCAACATTGACGACTCGACAATCAAACAGTAAAATGAATACGAAATTATAGCAATAAGTTGTATATAAATATTTAGTTTGTTCTTTGAAGCAAGATTTTTCAATATAGCACGTGAGACTTCTTTATTTTTGTTACAAAATACAACGTTTAAATCGCTAAATGTTTTTTTGTTTATATATTAGATCTGTCCTACGTAAGTAGTTCTTAGAAACTGTTAGCTATTCATTTGCGTACGTAGTTTTCAATGAGGATTATCTATGAAAAAGAAATTGTGAAAACTATTAATTCAAAAATCGAATACGAAGAATAAATCCTCGCCATACCGTGTCAGACGCTCTCCCAACAGCGCTACGGAACGAATCACCAGACCTTACAAATTTCTCTATGTGCTTGTTGCAGTTCTTGATTTTAACGACTTTTTTACCGTAGCGCCATTTGTGAAAAATCTATGAAAGTTATTCTTCATAGAAGGAATTTTTCTTCGTGTTCGACATTTGCATTAATAATTATATCTAACTAATTCAAGTATTATTTCCATTGACTTACAATTATACGGACGTCGGGTCCGCGCTAAAAAGTGTCCGCACTTGTAAAGCGCTAAAATCGTATACAGAGCGCCAAACTCCGCTTTAGTCTTCATTTGTTCTACTGACAGCGCGATACTGCGATGACATTACAATTTAAATTTCGAATAGGTTGACTTGGGACATTTTTTTCGTGGTTTTTGTATTAGACCCGTCGTCCATTTATTTGTAAGTCAATGATTATTTCACACAAAATAGTTGAATATCATGGTAGTAAAACATCGTGATATTTTTGTAAAAACTCTAGTACTTTGTTTAATGTTTAAGACTCGATACTACCTCAGCTCGAATTCAAATTTTTCCCGTACTGAATCCGGTTCTGTTGCACGGGTCGAGCGACAGTGACACTGACTTTACTTCAGAATTTAACAGACATTAAAGCCATTTGAAAAATGTAATAACTCAACATCATGTACATCGTATATTTATACGTGTTCCTTTAGTTCAGTTGACATAAAAAAATCATTGGTATATGTAAAGTACCTATTGAATACAGCGGTTTCCTTGTAAAATTTCGAGGTAAGTTTGTGTTTTCTTTTTTCTATCGTGAAAATTTTTAGGAATCGTGTTTTCACACCGTATACTAACCAGTGTATATCCTCATTTACAGTATATTTATATATATACTTTAAATGGAAATCACTTTGGAAATATATATATATATTTCCAAAGTGATTTCCATTATATATATTTCCAAAGTGATTGACACTATCACTGTTATGCGAAATCAACTAAAGCCAATTGAGGTAGTATAGACTCTTAATACTTATATCTAAAATAATTTTTCGTGAGAAACCTTTACCTCAAAGACACTTTAATGCTTTCCCTTAAGACGCCTAAATAACAGTTTCTCTCTTTTTCTTTAGCGATTAATAAAACTAAGTGCACAAATTAAATCGTGTGAAAACCATTTGCTACCATTTCTACTACATTACGAACCGGGTAGACCAGCTAAGAGAAAGTACAGATATTCGCTTCTCAAGCGTTGCTTCCACTTTCCCATCGCATTTTGTATCAAATCAGATAAGGAGCAATTAGCTCCATTAGCTTATACTCGCTATCTTTAGGAATATGAATGGCTTTTCATTTCTCATAAGACTGCTACCTACTTTCATTTGTTTTGAATTTGAAATAATTACAGTACAACTATTTTTTAAATATTCTCGACAACCTTAGTGTTTGGACTGTCTTCGGATTTTTATCAGTTAATGACTTTGATATTTATTATTGATACAAAGATCCTACATACCCATAGAAAGATCCGATGGGACTCGAATCAGTGTCTGTTGCCGACCCGAGTCCTGCCCTAAGAGTCCATTCGGATCGAAGGATTTTTTCTGTTTCTTCGGTCTTAATATCAATAATTAAAGCATACTGCCAAGTTTTCTACATGTGTAGTCTGTGGGCCAGCTTTGCACATAGCGTCCAATACAATAACGGCATCAGGATGCTGATGGGGCTACCGCGAGCCCTCAGCGCCTCGTGCATGTTTGCGCAGTATAGCAGTGGTGATTTTTATGCTATAATGTGCAAAAAGACTGCCTCGATGCTCTGCAGGCTGCGGGCCAGTCGCAACTCCATCTTAATAACTGTGGCGGCAAGGTATGACTCGCCATGCACGCGCCATTTTGCCCAAGTGCTAATCAACGGGAATTAACTTTTGTAGTTGTTCAGGTACTAATTTATTTAGACGTAGGTACACTAACATAGATATAAGATTTCTCTTGTTACTGACCAATTTAGACCACTGCTTCCTGTTTTATGAATAAATTAAATAATAATAACAAACTAGTGGAGTGATTTCACAAAAAAGATTCATAGAACTGTAAACAAAAATTTAGTTACTGTTAATTAAGTTTAAAGACAGTTAATAGTTGCACTAAAAAATCTTGTATCAATTGCAAATTTCAAGGACGACTTCGGTGGCCGCGGCTCAATTCCTGGTAAGGCCAATTAGGAAAGTAACTTTTCTAAATTTCCTAGTTTGGGACTAGCAATTGGTGTGATTGCCTGACACATTACCATTATTATTACAATCAACTACATATTCCAAAATGCAACTCAAAAATGGTTATAAGATACCATTACCCATGAGCAAACATATTTTGTACCGAATAAAACACCGGGATAAAACAAAAGCGGCATGACTCCGTTGACAACTTGACACATTAATCATATCAAAAATAAAACCAGACGTAGGTATAATTACATTTGAAGATAAGAATCTGTGATTACAATAATCGTTTAATCGCCACACCACGCCCACGTTACCCAGTGTCATACTGACGTCCAAAGCCTATCATGCCCCAGGGAGTAATTAAGTTCTAAAGCGCAGTTAAAATATGACCACATCGGCTATAAAACGTGTAGCCCCGCGGCGTTTCTTAACTTTAAATTCATAGAAGAAATGCTCTTAATTTTTTGTTCTTAATAATGCTACTATATCTGTCTGTGTATACCGGCTTTGAAGTACCTTATGCAGAGCGTGAATTTGGATAAGAAATTTTTCTAAGTGTTCGATATTTGTATTAATAATTGTAACAAAGGAATGGAGTAATTTCACAAAAAATAAATGATTACCATGGTATTAAAACATCATTGGTGAAATTACAGGCACATGGGACTTGTCAACTTATGTCTTATGGTGACGGGCGTAGTGGCAGTGCCCTTCAGATCTGTGCGATTTAAAGCTCTGAGTGGCACTGCAACTATTATAGATAGGCGTGTAGCTTACTAACAGGCGCACAACTTGATATTATAAAAAGAAATCATAATATTCATTACAATTAAAGTTCTGTGCATCCTTTGGATGTCCGAGATAGCAACATAAAATAAAAAATGGCATGTCCAGTAGTGTGAAACAAACCCTTTGTTGATGCCACGAAAACGAATTGTTGCTATTCTCCTATGACCCAACAAACCACAATGGGAAAAGCGCTAAACACCCAATGTACTAAATATAATTACATGCTCCAGGCCCAAACAAGTGCCCTCAGTTTTGTATGAATAACGTATTTTTCTAGCTACCATAAGGTCATATAGAATATATAGCGCTAAATTTGCCCGTGACCCGTGCCCGAGTCGTGCATGTGGCTAAGGTGGCCCGTGTGGAGATCCCTAAATCGTCTTTGCAATCAGGTAGGACGCTGCTGAGATACTATGTGATTTCAGATATACTAGTCAAACCCAATGTGACTGCGGTGCCCCAACATAGCAGCACTTACTGTTGTATCCCTTGTGTCCTAAATACCTGTACGAGGGTAGGTCTCTACGCGGCCGCGGACAGCGCTGTCAAGGTAGCAACGTACTATTTAGTGTCAATACAGTCCTAAAATAAAAGAAGCCTAACAATAATAAACGCATACACTCAAAGTAGCCCCGTACTAGGGAAAATCTGTGTCGCGGATGCAGTGGACACACACATAGACAACCACAAATTATACCCGACTAGTATCGACACGATAAGAAGAAGAAGCGCTAAATTTGAATACACGTTGGGCAAGGTAGCTGCCGGCCCTACCTTTGGGTTTCCCAAACAGTCTATTAATTTCATTTCTTTAAACATTGTTTTCTCGGTTTTGAGTTTTTGTCACAAGCGCCCTTTCAACTAACGGCGGCAGAAGAATGGGAAACTAAACTATTTTTTCCAATTTAAATCGCGTGTATTTGTTTTTTCAAACAAACCAAAACCTAACTAAACGAAAACCTAAGAACTCGATACGTCACGATCCCTTCCAAAGCAAAGAGAGCCCTGTAATATTTTATATAAATTTGAACAATTCTAACAGTCACTGCTTAATATATTTCTTCGTCCGCGACCGTTACAGCACTTACTGTTGTATCCCTTGTGTCCTAAATACCTGTACTAGGGAAGATCTCTTCGCGGCAACGGATAGCGCGGTCAAAGTGGCAACATAGCGTTCTTTTTTTTATTATTATCAAGTAACGGGACGAGCAAGTCGTGTACCTAGTGGTAAGCTACACGCCTGTCCATAATAATAATAAATATGCCACTCAGAGCTTTAAGTCGCAAAGATCTGAGGGGCATTGCCAATGCGCCTATCACCCTGAGACATAACGTAGTACTTCCATGGACAAACTCTTTCATATGGAGTGCTACTGCTACTAAAATTCAAAGTCAATTTAGTCCTAAAATGAAGCACACACATGATAAGAAGAAAAACATCCCATATAAAAAGAAAATTCACGTATTACGTGCACATTATCCATGCAAAGGCGTGTGTGGCTGAGTATTAGGACAGAGGCTATAAAAATTTAACACCTAACCAGGTGGTGGTCCTGCTGTGATAATTTTACATATTTAGATTCTACGGTGTAGACATTCGTGCATACTTTACTGTGAGAACAGACTTTAATGGGATGTTCTCGTCGATGTTGACACGTAATTTATAACGTCTAATAGAATATAGAGATCATGTATTTGCAGGACATTAATTCTAGAGTTTTAGAAGTTTTGCTCACTCTTGCATTCCACAACAAAGTCCATAAGGATATCCCATAACAAATTGCACATCTATAAATTGACGACGAAGGGAA